GGAGTTGGGGAGGCGGCGGGTCCCCCGACACCCAGGGAGCCCGGGCTGGTGATGCTCCCACTGCCCCTGTGCCTGCTGCTCTGCCCGCGCTGTACTAGCACTGGGACAGGACTGCCCAAGCACTCCTTAAAACCCACAACAGAAGTTGTGAAACAGGAATTATGATTTGTACTGTAATATAACACCGGTCTATCAGCAACACCATCACCTACAATAATCTCCTGAGCATCTGCCACTGGAGGGTGACTCACCTGCGGAGCTGCTGTCACAAAATAGCTTATCAGGAGTGAACTGACTGACAAAGCAGGATTTTTCCAGCTGCTGTCCTGACGATAAGAGGAACCACAGCCATCCCACTCTTTGGCTCTTCCGTGTCGCACCGGCTTGTTTTTAAACAGAGGTTTTAGTAGGTGGAGGCGGAAAGGGGAAGAGTTTATGCATGAGGTTACCGGGCCATTGTATGTTCCTGTCTCAGGTCACTCAGTCTGCGTGTCCCTGTGTGGTCCCAGGTCATGGCTGGCAGGCACTCCTGGCAGCACCGGACTGAAGTGAAGTGGAAAGCGAGTGGGTGCCCGTGGCAGGTTACCCCTGGGGCTGCTGTGCGGGCTGTGGGGCACGGGCTGGTGTCCGGCTGTGCGGAGTAGCTGAAGTGCTGGGCAGGCTGCGGGGAGTCGTTGCTCCCCAGTGTGAGCAGCGTGCCTACCCCCTGTCCAGCGACTGTAACAGCGGGCGCCCCAGCAAGCTGGGCAGGGCAGAGGTTGAGTCCTTCCAGACTCCTTTACCTGCCCTTGGGGACAAACCTCCTGCTTTCTCCCCGGTTTTTGTCCCTGCTGTGGTACAGCAGCACTGCGGCAGCGCTGACTGCTGGTTCCTACACCGCTGGGATGCTCCTCGGCTGTTCAAGGAGATTTACAGAGGCCTGCTACCCGTGTGGATGTGCAGGGCTCAGTACCGGGGCTGGGTCTGCAAGCTGGGGACTGCGGTGTGAGCTCAGGGGTGGCCATGCCCTTCTCTCACAACCCCCCATCTCTTTGCAGAGCAGCGGCCCTGGGTTGGATGAGCTCATTGCTGTTGTACGAGATGGGGCTGGCAGGGCTGCATGGGGGGCCCCCAAGCCCTGGTTGGGGAAAGTGCTGTGCCTGTAGGCAGGCGCTGAGGCTGCTCGTGGAGCTGTGCAGGTCTCTGGTGAGAAGCTGGGCTACATGTCCAGGAATAATTGCTCTGGGATGAAGAGTGGCTTGCTTCAGCCTGCTGCTGGCAGCACGGCCGGGCAGGATGGGCATTTAGGTGGAAGCGTGCAGGAGTCACTTGCTGTAGCTGGGCAAAGTCTGGTGCGGGGAGCCGGCTGGGGTCAAGGGAGTCTGCAGGCTGCGGTCGGCCCCGCTGGCAGCTGGCTGGAAAGCCTGGCCTTGTGCAGACTCATACTGGAAGTGGTGGGCGTGCAGGATTTGCCAAGCAGCTATTTGTAACCAGCTTTCCCAACGGTCGGGAGAGCTGCTGCTGCCAGGTGTGAGCACTGTGCCAGCGGGGAGGCTGCGGAGCTTCCCGGACCTGCAGCTCCTGTGCCAGCGCAGCTCTGCCGCAGCAGGGACCCTGCCTGCCCTGGGGACAGCGGGCAGCATGGCCCCGTAGCCTGGCCAGGGATCCTGCATCTGCATGTGGCTCTGCAGGTAAGCGACACCCTCCCCACACCATGTCCAGAGACTGTGGGATGGAGGGTGGGCAGTGGCAGCCGGCAGGGCCAGCCACGCACTCTGCACAGGAGGAGGGTGCCCAGTGCTACTGCGGGAGCTTTTAGCTTGC